GTCAATGTGGCTGACTGTTCCTCTGTCTGGCTTCCTGTCTTTTAATCCTCTTCCTCCTGCTCTTCTGGCCTGCTTCTTTGGGTGTCCCTGAGTTTCCCCTCCTCACCTAATCCCTATGGCTGATTGCTCTTCTCTTTGGCTTCCTGGGTTTTACCCCTTTCTCCTGCTCTTCCGGCCATCATAGGATGGTCACCTTTAAAAATAAATGTTAACCGTTTTTAATGTTAGCAAATCCTACCTGCTAACTTGTTTTTTGTATTTGTTTTCTTCCACCATTAAAGTAACACTGGTGAGAGTCTTTCTGAAACAGACGAAACCCTAATTATTATCCAGGCTATGAAAGAAGCAAATTTGCCAAAATTTCTTCCTGCTGATGCCCCACTTTTTGAAAAAATTATAGGAGATATTTTTCCTGGAGCTACAGTTCCCAGCAAAACTCAATTTGCCTTGAAGGTAACAAAACTTTTGAAAATAGTCACAAATGATTTAAATGTGGAGTAGCAATTAAGTTAAGGAAGTAGATGAAGATTAAAATATTACATTGTTTTCTCTAACTTACTCAATTCATGTTACAGTTTTTTTGAGGAAAAACTACTTGGAGATATATTTTCCCCTCAGGAGAAAAAAGAAAATGTATTGTGTACACTTAGGCGAAAAGGACTACTAAATACTGTGTTCCTCAGTTTGTTTATCTTTCAAATAGGAATAATAATAGTGTCTGCTCATCCTACTTTATAGGAGTGCTCTTAGAATCAAACTAAATCAGCTATCAAAAATATTTTTAATTAAAATGTCAGTATTTTATGATCATTCAAATTATGCATTGTAATTATTGAGCCCTTTATAATTAATTTTTAATTTTTCTTACATATAAAAAGGAGCTTTGGTGGTGCACGCCTAAGGCATTTGACTGTTAACCAGAAGGTTGGTGGTTTCAAACCCACCAACTGCTCCCTGGAAAGAAGATGGGGCAATCTACTTCCATAAAGATTTACTGCCTTGGAAACTTGGGGGTTTCTATGAGTCAGAATCAACTTGATGGTAGTGGGTTTCTTGTACATAAAACCTCACAGTCATTGCCTTAGTCTAGGTAGGATCTCAATATCTCTTGCTTCTGCTGTTATATAGCTTTTACTACCGCCTGCATTCTAGTGTGTTTCCACATGGCCATCAGAGATGCTTTCCTGAAACATACGGGTTATCACATAAACAAAAACACTGTTGAATCAATATTGTCTGTAATACAAAATCCAAATTAATTATCTTCCACAGTCTGGCTGGACCTAATATAACCTCCTACCTATTCAATATATAAGGAGCTCTGGTGGCACTGTGGTTAAAACACTGGTCAGTGGTTTTAACCCACCAGCAGCTCCATGGGAGAAATATGTGGCAGTCTGCCTCCATAAAGATTCACATTCTTGGAAGCCCTATGGGGCAGTTCTACTCTGCCTGTAGAGTTGCGATGAGTCAGAATTGACTTGATGGAAGTGGGTTTGGTTTGGTTTTTGGTTATCCAATTATCTTAACTTCCTTCCTCTGCCCTTTCTGTTCTCCATATTTTTTCCATCCTGAACTCCTCACTGTTCTCTGGCTCTTCTAGGTCTTTATCATAGATAAGTCAGGCCTTTAAACATTGCTTCTTTTCCCTGGAACTCTAGTCTTCTTTGAAAACAAACAAACAAAAAAAAAGAGGGGTGTGTGTGTGTGTTAATTTCAGAAAAATACAGTGTAAGCAGCTTCAGAATTATCTGTTCTCTAAAGGTTTGGAAGATTTTCCCTATAAAACAAGTTATACCAAGAGCTTCATGACAGGGTAGTCATAGTTCTATTATATGAAAATAAACCCAATTAAACTTATAACCTACACGTTTACTCCCTCTTCCAACTAAAACTCTGAGCAAATAGGTAAAGCAGATACAAAATAACGATCTCTTCCAGGATCAATTTTGTTAAATTAGACAATATTCCCATTTAACACAGGCTTTAAAATATGCTACTGTAGAGTTGGGCAAACCACTATCTTACTATCCTTTAATTTTCTCTGTTTTTGAGATTATTCCCCCTAATCACTGTTTATATTCTTCTTTTGTGCTGTCTTCATTAGTTAGATTACCTAGAAAGTTTTCTAATTTATTGCAATTTCTCCCAAAGAATCAGCCTTTTATTTATTTAATACATCTTTTTCTGATTTCTAACTTTTTAATATCTGTTTTTACCATTTTTATACCTTTTTTCATTCCTTTGAGTTTCACATTGTTATTCTTTTCCAGTTTTTTAATAAGATGTTTAATTCATTTGGTTCTTTTCTTTATTTACGAATATAAGTTTTTAAGATGGTAACTTTTTCTGTGAGTACTGCTTTAGCTATATGCCATAAATTAAGATATGTAGGGTTTTTATAATCATTATTTTCCAGAAATTCTGTAATTTCAGTTAGTACTTCCTCTTTTTCCTAAGTATTCTTTAAAACAAATTTTTCTTGTTTTGAATTTACAGATCAAAGGATCTTTTTAGTTTCTGATTTTGTTGTTAATTTCTTGTCTTAATAAATGATTATTAGAGAAAATTTAATATTTTTATCCTTAAGAATTAATTCAGATTTTTCTTTATGGCCTAATATTGATTTTTATAAATATTCCATATGTCCATAAAAGAAAGTATATTTATTATTATCAGCTACAAATACAGGATATAGAGTTCAATCTGTTTCCATTATTCTATTCTATGGATTTTATTGTTTATGTCTCCAATAACCTTTCTTATACTAATTCATTTCATTTACCTTGGACTGAAAGAAAGGAATTATTGTCATCTCCTATTAGTACCCACCACTTGTCCATCAGTTTGTCCAACTGTGGTAGCTTGCATATGTTGCTGTGATGCTGGAAGCTATAATCTGAGAAGCTGCATTAGATGAAGAAGAACATGCATCAGAATTGAAGGAAGACTCATTAACAGTCTGCAATATGCAGATGACACAACCTTGACATAAAGAAAATAAAAAACCTCACAATTGGACCAATAAGCAACATCATGATAAATGGAGAAAAGATTGATTGTCAAGGGTTTTATTTTACTCGGCTCCACTATCAATGTCCATGGAAGCAGAAGTCAAGAAATCGAATGATGGAGGAGGAAGATGGGGGTCATACAGATAACCTGCACATTTAATCCCTCTTCCAACTGAGACTCTGGGTAAAGAGGTAAAGCAGATACAAAGAATGTTACTGGAGGTGTGAGCAACTAAGGAGAAGATAAAGTATTAGATTCAGTGAAGGTAAAGACAGCAGATTAAATAATTGGGAAATATAAATGAATCCACCCAGCTGGCTGAGATAGAGACTGAGAGGGGTCATTAGAAATATAAAAGAGGTCTCGAAGGAGGGAGAGAAAAAAAAATCATGCAACCCACAGGCACTTGGACTCAGAATAGTGACACTGGGAGTTTTCCGAGGTGATCTAGTTTCTGCATACAGTAATCTTACCAGGAAATAGATCAAGACCCTCCTTAGCTTGAGCTGCCGCAGAGTCCAGAAGGGGATAAGGGAAAGGGAGAAACTCCCTCTGAGTAGGTGGAGCCCCAGAGTGGGTACATAGCAATGGGCTTGGATCCAACTCTTGATGACCACTTTTGGCATAGACTGGGTACCTGGGTACTGGGATTTTATAGTTTCTCAATCCAAGCAGAAAGTGGTGATCCTCTACCCACTGGGGTGTCTATCAGTTTTGAACCATGAGTCTTTCATTGACTGTGGGGCATCATCATCAGTACACATCTCAGAAGAACCCAAGCTGCCCTGCCTGTGCCTGCATCACTGACTGAATTATCTCACCCCAAATACAGAAACTCCGTCTACCTTTCTATCCTGGGGTTTGCTTCTGATGCCTTTTTTTTTTTTTCTTTCTTTCTTTCTTTCTTTCTTCCTTTTCTCCACTGCCTCATCCAATATGAGGAACACATTAAACCTCCACCAGACAACCAGAGCTATTTCACTGAACACCTCTCCCAATAGACAGGTAACATCAACAGCTCCTGCACCACAGGATCAATGACAGATGGTGGACAACATCTGCTCAGCCTAACTCCAAATCCTCTTCACAATGAACAAAGACCTGCACCCATATCACCACCAGTGATTCCACCAACAGAGAGAGAGTTGGAGACTGAGTTAATAACCAAAGAAGTACCCCTGCTCCACACTTTCATATATAGGTAAAACATAAAATCAAGAAACAAATCAGTACACAACTAATAATTAAGGACAACAACTTCAAAATGTCCAGGAAACAACAAACAACCTCAAGTCAAATGAACAACAACAAAAAAAAAAAAAAATGGAGAAGAAGAAAGAAAGAAACAGGACAAGACAATAAAAGCCCAGGCAAAAGAATCATCTATCATGGAAGAAGAACAAGCAATAGAACTTTCTGAGAAGAAACTCAGAAAGTATATGTGTGTGTGTGTGTGTGTGTGTATACTTCAAGAGCTCAAGAAAACCATAAACAGAAAAAATGAGGAGACAGGCAGTACCCCAGAAGAATTCAGGAAAATCATTCAAGAACAAAATAGTAAGATAAATACACAATTAGAATTTACACAGAAATAGCAGTTTGAAATTGAGAAGATAAACACTAAAACTATGGAGATAGATAACACAGTGGAAGGAAAAAAGAGTAGACTAGAACTGGCTGAAGAATGCATTTCCCAGCTAGAAGACAAATCCCTTGATGGCAGTTGTATGAAGAAAAATCAGAACAAAGATTTAAGAGAAATGATGAGAACCTAAGAGTTATATGGGATGACATGAGAAAAAACAACAGATGCCTGATTATGTTCTGATAATACCAGAGCAAGAAGAGGGGGGGAACCACCAAGAAAATTGTAGAAGACTTGCTAACAGAAACTTTCCCACATATCATGAAGGAAGAAGAGATGTCCATCCAAGAAGATCAACAAACCCCCATATAGGATAGATCCCAAGAGAAAGTAACCAAGACATATCATAATCAAATTTTCCAAAACTAAAGGCAAAGAAAGAATCTTGGGAGCAGCTCAGGAAAAATGAAATGTCACCTACAATGGACAACCAGTAAGACTAAGCTCTGATTTCTCAGCAGAAACCATGCAGGCAAGAAGGCAATGGGATTCCATATATAACACCTTGAAGGAAAAGAATTACCAACTAAGAATTTTAGATCCATCCAAATTGTCTCTCAATATGAGGGTGAAATCAAGACATTCTCACACAAATAGAAATTAAGGGAATTTGTGAAAACCAGACCAACTCTACAAGAAAAGCTAAAGGGAGTCCCTCCAATAGAAAACCCACAACAGAGAACAGCAGATAAAAATTAAGACATGGGACATTACCACTTAAAAAAAAAAAAAAAACAGAAACAGATGCTCAAAATAAGCTCATAAAATAATACACACAAAGAAATAAGGGAGT